TTTGGTGTCAACCCCCCTGTCCTCTGGGTGAGGGATCCGAATTTCTCCCGTGCCCTGCAGTGCAGAGGAGGTGGGTTTGTTTGGGCAGAGATGTTGTGAATGTCTCAACTGTAACTAGTAAAAAATAAAATCGTGGTCCCTGTGGTTGTACCGGTGTTGGCCTGGCTCCAGGGCTGGGGATGCTGTGGAGCTCCTTCCGGAGTGGGATGCTCCACTTGCCTCACCTCTGCTCTCTTCCAGAGCCCCCCACACCCATTGCACCCCCCCAGCTGCTCCGGGCTGGTTCCACCTACATCATTCCAGCTCAACACCAACTCCATCATCGGCGACGGCCCCATCGTGCGTAAGGAGATCGAGTACCGCATGACCTCGGGGCCCTGGTCGGAGGTCCACGCTGTCAACATGCAGACCTACAAGCTCTGGCACTTGGATCCGGACACCGAGTACGAGATCAGCGTCCTGCTCACCCGCCCCGGTGAGGGGGGCACTGGCAAACCGGGGCCCCCCCTCATCAGCCGCACCAAGTGTGCAGGTGGGTCCCATGCGGCATCCCTGCCACCCCGGGTGGCCTTGGGCAGGGGTCTTGGGTGGCCTTGGGCAAGGGTCCGCTGCCACCCTGGGTGGCCTTGGACAGGGGTCCTGGGTGGCCTTGGGCAAGGGTCCCCTGCCACCCTGGGTGGCCTTGGGCAGGGGTCCCCTTGCCACCCCGGGTGACATGGACAAAGGTCCCCTGCCACCCCGTGGGCAGAGGTCCTGCGAGGGCTTTGGGACCTGCAGGAGCATCTGCTGAGGTTGCAAAAGACCCAAAAAAGGGGTGGCCTTGGGCAGGGGTCCTGGGTGGCCTTGGGCAAGGGTCCCCTGCCACCCTGGGTGGCCTTGGGCAGGGGTCCTGGGTGGCCTTGGGCAAGGGTCCCCTGCCACCCTGGGTGGCCTTGGGCAAGGGTCTCCTTGCCACCCCGGGTGACATGGACAAAGGTCCCCTGCCACCCCGTGGGCAGAGGTCCTGCGAGGGCTTTGGGACCTGCAGGAGCATCTGCTGAGGTTGCAAAAGCCTCTTGCAACCCTGAGCTACCCAAATTCCCCCATGGTGCAAATCCCAAGGGAATCGCCTGGGGGGATCAGCTCTGGGATGGGGTGGGCAAGGCTTCCTTCCCTCTTGGGGTCCTTTTCCCCACCCTTGGGTGCAGAGAGGAGTTTCCTGCTGCTGACCCAAACCACTGACATATGCGCGTGTTGTTGGCAAAGGAGCTCAGCTCCTCATTAAACCCAACTTCTCCTGTTCATGCCAATTAGAGTTAATTAATTTCCTTCCCAACTGGTCCCAGTCCCAGTTTTGGGGTCAGGGTTGCTCTCTGCACCCACCCATCTCACTCCTGTGCCCTAAAAGGGCTTTCCCTGGTAATACACACAAACCCATGAGATGTTTTGCTTCATCGCTCATCTCCCCCCATCTCTCTTCCCCCCCCCTACAGAACCCATGCGGGCCCCCAAAGGTCTGGCTTTCTCCGAAATCCAGTCCAGGCAGCTGACATTGCAGTGGGAGCCACTGGGCTACAACCTGACCCGTTGTCACACCTACACCGTCTCGCTCTGCTACCGCTACTCCGTGGGCACCGGCCACAACCAAACCTTCCGGGAATGCGTGAAGATGGAGCGTAACGCCAACCGCTACACCATCAAAAACCTCCTGCCCTACAAGAACATCCACGTCAAGCTCATCCTTTCCAACCCCGAGGGTCGCAAGGAGGGCAAGGAGGTGGTGTTCCAGACGGATGAGGATGGTGAGTCCGCTCAGGGAGATGCTTCATGGATGCGCCATCCCTGGAGGGGTTCAAGGCCAGGCTGGATGAGGCTTTGAGCAACCTGGGCTGGTGGGAGGTGTCCCTGCCCATGGCAGGGGGTGGCACTGGATGGGCTTTAAGGTCCTTTCCAACCCAAACTGTTCTGTGATTCTATGATCATCCCCAAAAATAGGATTTTCTGGCTGGTGAGCGGCTGGGGTGTTGCCCGTGGCACGGTGCACATCCGTGGCTCTCAGCCAGGGGCATGATGGGAATATCTCCTGTGGCAAACGGGGAGGTGAAAAAGCTGTTGCAGCCCCAGGGCTGTGCGAGAGGAAGGGGCAATGATGGTAGCTGGGGAAGGGGAATGCTGGGGGACGAGGGGACCAGCTGGGGATGGCACAGCAGAAACTCTGCCTGTGTCCTTGGATGGAGGGTTTTAGCTGTGGCCGGTCCATGGAGGGTGTGAGAGTTGTCTGATGCCTGGCTCCTCCCAGCATGAATTGTCCTTGCTCATCCCTTGGTGTGGAACCGAAGCTTATCAGCTATAATAACAATTAAAACAATTAGTGCTTTGCACTTCGGTAACATCTTCTATCTGCTTGGTCGCTGATGAATTCGACATTGCTGCAGTTCTGGGAGGGTGCTGTTCCCCGGAGCCCAGTGCAGCTTTGCTCACCTTCCACCATGCTCTTCCCTGGTTAAGTTTGCTCTCGGGCAGGTGGGGGTTGTGCAAACGAGCTCTGCAGACGAGTGTCTGTTGATAGGGGGTGTCTGGCCCCCGTTATTTGCCAGCAGCATTGCTCCTGAGTGGCCGAGCTGGTTCTGTTCTCCCTGTTGTGGCTGTGCCCCGGGGTGGGTGCTGGGTGTGTGTCGTGGTTTATACCACACAGCCGCTCACTCACCCTCCTGGGCATGGGGGAGAGAATTTAAGGGGTGAAGCAAAAAGAGACTCGTGGGTTGAGATAAGAACAATTTAATAGCTAAACTACAATAATATTGGACATAGTGATGATAGTAATATATACAAATGTACAAATGAGTGACACATGGAGACACTGCTAAACACCCCATGACCAAGGATCAGCCTGTTCCCAGCTAATGATCCTGGAGCAAGGAGAGTCCCAAACGGAACGGAGATAAGAGCCTGAGTGTCTGAGAGACTGAAATGACCCTGAGAGAGGGGTGACCCTGAGGGAGACAACCCGGAGCAAGAGAGAGAACTTCCAGCCAGAGCCTCCCCTCTCCCCTGGCCATGGGCATGGGATGGGACAGACCATCGGCCAGTTTGGTCTCAGTCCTGAACCTGAGGTCGAATCCTGGGCTGGTCACTGGGGCTGTGCTCCCTCCCAGCTCCTCCTGCCCCTGCAGACACGGGCACAGCAGAGAAGCTGGAAAGTCCTCGACTGTCCTGGCAGCAGCTCTGCCCATCAGTGTGTGATCAGCTTCTCCTCAGCACAAACCCAACCAGCCCCACACCAGCTGCTGGGAAGAGAGGGAGCTCTGTCCCAGCCCAAACCAGGACAGCACGGAGCATGGCTGGAGCATCCCTGGCTCTTGCGGAGTCACTGTCTCTTACTGCTAAGCAAGAGCATAATTAATATCTGAAGCCGTTTTTAGCATCAAGAATCAGCAATTAAGGTGGAAAGCCTGATAACTGGAAAGGATCCGGCCGGCTCCAGAGCCCCTGGATGACCTCCAAGGGGAAGCTTGCTGGGAAATCCCCTGTGTGGGACTCGCCTCGATTTGGGACCCATGGAAACGTGCAGCTTTTGTGTGTGTTGCTCATCACTCTGCTTTCCCAGGCTGGACAGCGAAGCCTGCAGAGCTGGGATGGACCCAACCCGTGTCTCCAGGTCCAGTTTTCATCTGAAAACCTCCATTTGTCACTTTTCTCTGTGCATCCCATCAGCGCTTTGTGTGTCCCCACCCCTGAGCCTGCCCGACCCGGGGGCACCCAGCTCCACGCTCCTGCCAGTTTATTTTCGGCTGTAATTGCTCCAGCTGTTCTCGCTGTGCTGCGACTGCTCCAGCTGTTTGCTTCTTGAATACTAAGACAGGAGCTCCAGATGTTTCTTTGCTGTACTGTAGCCACTCCAGCTGCTTTCCCCTATCCCTTGATGAACGGGGGCTTGCGGCTTCCCCCTTGGATTGAATTTGGGGCTGCGTATATGTTCATTCTGGGGTGGGATCATTGATGGATATCTGCCTATGGATATATCGTAAATATTACACACGGGCTCAGCCCAGCATCTCCCTGCCTGGGAGGATGATGAGGATTGGAGCTCCCAGAACCGGGTGCTGAGCATCTGCTTGATAAAACCTTTGATTTTCATTTATTTTGGCATTTTCAGCTGCAGCATCCGCTGAGGTTTGTCTCAGGGTGTCCCTGGTGTAGCCTGCGAAGATGCACACCCCCATCCCAAGCGTGAAACCCTGTTTTGGGGCTGGAAAACCCATTTTTGGGCCATTCATAACTGAGCCAAACCAGGGGTGTTGTTCACAGCATCCCCCTTGGACCCTGCAAAAAATCCTGCTGGCTCCTGGGTGTGTGGGCAGGGCATCGGGAGAAGAGGGTCACCCATCCATAGGTTGCCCCGTATAGATCCCGGGATGCTCGGGAGGGTTGGTGACCTGGAGATTTTGGACTATGTCTGCATGAAATGATGAGACTCAATCCCAGGTGCCTCCAGAAATATCCCTGAAGCGTGTTGGTGCTGGGGAGAGGTGAGTGCAGGGAGCACGTGTGTGGCGCCGGCCAGAAAAAAAAAATAATCTAAATACATAAATAAAAGTATATGTGCATATATGTATGAGAGTGGGGTATCTGCACACCTGGGAGCTGTTGTGTACCTCTGCCTACCTCAACCTGCTGCACACCCAAGCACGTGGTGCCTGTACATGTATAAATATAAATATAAATATATAGGCTATATATATGTACAAAAATATAGGTACACGCATTCTTGCCCTGAAGGTTTCCATAATTCTCTGTGAATTTAATAAGAGCCTTGTGTACACGTGTAGGACACGGCGCCTCTGATTAAATTAACTTGTAAATCAAGTGGAAATTGTGTATTTGCACGGTGGGAAGCCCGCGGAAGGCGATCCCTCTCCCGGCCCCGTAATTAGATCTGAAGAAAAGCTGCAAAAAAGAAAAATTAGAGGTGAAGAGCTGGCATCCCCCTGCAAGGGGAGGGTGCGTGTTTCGGGCATTCGCGCCTGCAGCAGAGGATGCTGCTGGGGAATCGGGGTCTCTCGCCTCTTCTGTCCTCCTCACTGACCCCTTCAGGGCAAGAAATCTGTGGAAAAGAAACGAATATTGATCCCAGCGCCATCGATCGCGGTTATTGTTTGCAGTTATTGTTGTTGGTGTTAATTGGAGGGGAAGGCTGGCGCGTGTCGAGCCCATCGGCTGGTGAGGATGTTATCGCTCGCCGGGGGGGGGAGCATCGGCAGCATCTCCCGAGGATGCTGGTGGCTCAGGGGGGATTGGGTTTTATAGGAAAAGTGAATTTTTTTTTTTTCTTTCCTCGCGCTGGTGGACGCAGGTGAGCTCTGCCGGTGACGGTGCGCGGGGGCTTGCTTTCGGACACGGGCTGTGATGCCAGGAGCGGTACCTGTGGGGTTGGTGCCGTGGCCTGGGGACCATCCCTGCCCTGTGGCACGGTGTC